TGAAATAATTCTTTATATTCATAATACGCAAAAATAAATAGGGTTTGATTTTATTATTGTTAAATTTTTGCTGTTCGCTGTGTAGAGTTGTAGTAAGAGTAGGTATGGTAGAAATCGATTGCAAGCGGTTTAATGTTTTTTTAGAAATCGTGCATGTCGACAAATACCGAGTACATTTTTATATTAATAAAACATATTTTTTTATAATTCGTATGAAATACTTGAAGAATGAAGACTGGATTATTATATATATTACAAAATTATTATATATATTTTTTCGAATTTATTATAAGCTATTCATCTTAGTACTATAAAATAGCTATGTAATGTACAGTTCATGTGTATTTGATGTTAGTTATATATAAGAAAAAAAAGTTAATTTATACGAGAATGATAAAATTTACTCTAAATCGAACTATAACATTTATTAGGTTATAATTTATTTTGAACATGTCTCTAACTAAAACTATGATTAAACTATCGGGTTAGACTAGGTTAGAATTGATTATTAAAGAATATTTTAAAATTAATCAAAATTTGTAATTTAGTTATCCAATAATCTAATAATGACTTCACCAGAAGATTTCATCCGCTAATCACGCCTTATAAATTACTACCATCATATATTAACTGTTCTGGTATATAATATGTATATTGTGGATTACGAAATAACAAATTAAAAAAGTTATTATATTACTTCGTACTATATTGGCCAAATATTACTAGTAAGATTTTTCTATTTTTAAATGCTGTGTGCCTACATTTGATTTTTCTAAATTAATATTCTAATTATTCAATTAAGTTTAAATATATTTACTTATAATATATAACCTGCGTGAAATCAAATTTAAATTATAAATAATAAAAAAAAAACCTAAAATCGTAGTGTATCACCAAGCACGAATCACCCAACTATAACCGAAGATTGACTGACATAATATTATTAGAGGAGGAGCTTACATATTTTTAGTACAGTTTACAAATTAATACTTACAGTTAACTGTGGCATTTAGCGTGTTTCCATTATGCTTATGATATTTTTGTGAAATTGCTCTTGTAAGCCCTTCTCAGTCTTTGCCTATGCTTTACATTACTCGTGGGCCCGGAAAATTCTGGCATTTTCAATTATAGTGATCACTTAATATATATGTATTGAAATCAAATTACATTGATTAAATGTACTATTCAGTAAAATTTGAAATATTTTAGTTATTTTAATTGTATCTGTGTTCAAACAGTAATTCATTAGTTAATTAATAAAGTGTTTTTAATAATATATTCAAATATATGGGAATACATTTCTTATAGTTCTTATTGTATAATTTTTATTTAAAACCTTATAACACATTCAATCATATTACAATAAGGTTATATCGAAATTAAGATTTCCTAAAGTAACATTATTATACATTTCATAACAATATTTCAATATGTATTAATGGTTTTTTCATATTTTTTGTTACTCTTGGTACTCCTAAAATCTTAATAATATACTTGAATTGAAAAATTTGAAGACCCCTGTAGACATAAGACATGATTCTGCTCAAATTTTCCTTTCGAAATTCTGAGATTGCTAGACCTAAAGACATTTTTTCTTGATGATTTTCAACAAATTAATTTAAATGAGATCTTTGTTACCTCCTTATAGCAAGGACCGGCAAAGTTTAAGTAGGAAGAAGCCATTTTTTTTTTAAACATTTACAAAACATTGCCCAAAGAGCCGCACACAACAACTTTTTTTTTTTAGTTGTACATATGACTATAGTAAGTATAAAGAAAAAATATCTTGATACTCAAAAGAACCGCAGGTTATTATTTAAAGAGCTCTAGGTTGCCGTGTTCCCTGCTATATGAAAATTATTTTTTTTTATGAATTTTGACTTTGGAAATCTCTGCAATGAAAAAAATGTTTAATGTTATAACGCACAGTAATAATAGTATATATGTTACTTTTGTCCAATGTATTAGGTACTTCATTTTGAATCCTTACAATCATTTATCAACTAAAAAGTTATAATTGAGCTAATTTATTTATTAGTCTTTGTATTATTAATTTATGCCTTTAGTTACTGGTAAAAATTATTGTAGTCTTTATAGTAACAATGCATATGTATGATATAATATCAGTGTTGTATTTTATTTTAGATAATTATCTTGCGATAGCTCTGGCTATTAAAGGTTTTATGTATTTTGGATGTAATGTCTTAAATTTTCTTCTGGTGCTCAGGTACTCATAATTTTAATGCTTAAATTTGATTAAACAAGTTATTCTTCTTGTTGTGTGTAAATAAGTAATTAAGTATAGTTATTTATCTTATTATATGCATTTATCTTAAAATTAATGAAAGAAATGTTTTGTAGTTTTATGTCGACAGTGTAGGTTTGGAAAATTTTTTAATGAAATTATATTATGATATATATTTAATATAAACATAATATACCACCGTTATGTTTCTAGTGTAATACTAAAATATTAAATGTTGACCTCAAAATACAACCGTAAGCACTATGAAATTATAGCATGCGTTTCATACTTTTATATTTATTATATTCGATCCTTGGTATTTTTTAATGGTTAAAATTCAAATTTAACCTTGATACAGTTTAATTGTGTTTATAATGAATTGACAGTTATAAATTGGTAAATTTAAAAAAACATTTGAATTAACAAATATTTTTACAATTCAACAAGAAACGTGTATAACGTTTTAAAATTGAATTTTACTGCGATTTAGATATTAATTGACAGAATTTTGCAGTTGATAGTTGTATATAAATAATATTTTTGTAAATAATTTTAAAGAGTGAAGTTAAAATATTTTTATTTATTATTAGTATATCTTAGTTGACAAACGTTTGGTTGGACCCACAATAATCTGAACAATTTGTGTTCAGACTGTTATATCCTGGTGAGTTATATACGTATAATGGTTTCCCGTTGTTTTCTGCACAACTTCTTTATTTAAGATTATTTAAGAATACATCTTGGCCTTACCTAATTCCTAAACATTTCACAATGTGTTCATAATTGTTCGAAATGTATGTCTTATACAATTATGTAATTGGGATATTTATTGTACGAAATTGTACCTATTAGGTACTTATAATTATTGATAAATTACTTATTATTGTAATAAAATTGTTTTGTATTTCAACTTATACGTAGTAAATTATAAAATGTTTATGTAATAAATACAAAATGAATTCATTTTATTTGATATAGTGGCTGAAATAACTATAATAACGTTTTTAAAATCATATTAATTGAAAAATTTGATTTTATACTTAGGTGTGTAATGCGTTACGTATTAAATTGACTTTAATTGAGTTTATACTGTATATGTAAAAGAAGTTAAAAACGCTGTGAATTCAAATTATTTATGGATTATAAATTGTATGTACTCTGCGTATGTTATAAACAATTTTAAATTTATGTATTTCGAAGTAAATTGTAAATATTTTAATAAATCTTTTATCCTCTGATGGTTTTAATTGTAAAAAAATATTTTTATTTGTAAAAATGTCTTGATTAAAATGTAAGTATTTTATAATGACATACTGCAATCGAGTGTGGTGTGACTATAATAGTTTTAATTTTGCTGAAATATTAAATGTTGTGCGAAACGGAGAAAATGATAATGATCATATAAATAATAATATAATTGGAATAAAAAGTTTTAAAAAAACACTCTGTATACACATTACTATTTATATTTACTATATAATAGGTACGTTAATACGAAAGTGGGCATCCTATCATTTAAGATTATGTATTAGTATTTAACTGCAGTCCAATAACCACTTATGATATTTTGCTATGAGGTCGCTGTATACTATCAAGGTAAACTGCTTTCACTTTCTCTCTCTATGTCTTTAATATACAATTAGGTACTTATATGTTATATTACTGTCTACTATTATAATGCATCTTCGTAGTACCGTTAAAAATAATAATAATTATTGTTATTGTTTTTTTTTCGAAGATCTAGAAATTACTACCAGGTTAACTGCTGGAATTTATGGATCTTTCATTAATTGTATAGTGTTTATTCACTTCACACAGTTTGATGCCAAAAATCTGTCACTGCCCCTTTGATTACACGTTTCCTATTATATTATTTTTATACTTTTCTATTGAAGATGCCATCGTATGATTCGAAATTAACGATTTATCTGGTATATGTCGTCGTAGCAATAAATTCTTCTTAATTCTGTAAATTTATATATATATTTTTTTAATTGTATTTTAATGTTTTTATTGATTGTCTTACAATTATGTACTGTACCGTTGTATCTAGGACGTCCAGTTTTATATACTTGGCCTAGTTATGAGTTAAGAATATCCACAAGGAGTCGAGTTTCTAGTGTACGTTTTTTGTAAAATAACGTTTTTATTTGCTATAATTTGTTCGTATCAAACATAATTTTCATTATTTTTTATGTTTTATGATATTGGAACTTGTAATTAATACATCATGGTTAACATTAGCTAATAATAATTTATTTGTTTACGTATAGTTGTGTAAATAATAATAACGTCTTAAGTTTTTTTTGTGATTTTTTAGTATAATTGTACTTACTCCATATCATTCTCCAATGATCAATGTGAATCTTATTTTTCATGAAATAATTTTCGAAATTTAGCGAATGTTGATTAACATATATAGGTACTTTCAATAACTGGTATTGGATTATTTGCGTTGCACGTGTATTTTAGTTTGGCATAAAACGTGTTATAACTTATATCTGTTGCTACAAATTGAGTAATCCGTTGAAAAATATGATTCTTCGAATGAATTGAATTATACATTATATTAACACTTAATAATATTTAATGACATCATATTTTATTTACTTTTCGAATGCTATTTTGAAGTATTTTTTAAAATGTTGAGGAAAATTAATGAATTTCTAAAATATTATTGTACCTACCAGCTACAGCCGCAGGATTTTAAATAACAATAAATCATAAATTACTGTTTCGATTCATTTTTATTTAGGTCCCATAGATATGTTCGACAACATATTCGGTGGAATTGGCAAAGGTTGTGCCAGCCACCCTTGGGAAGTCATCGTGGGTGTATTAACTATTACAGCATGTATGTTATCGACGGACAAGACAGCTGATCCATCAATGTCGGGTGTACCACATAGTGCAAAGATCATTGTGAGTATCTTCAAAGTAAATTCATACTTTTATATATCTAATACTGTATGTGTATTTTAATTATTTTATTCTTTTTGCCTTAAAATGTCTAAATCATATTATTTTTATTTAAAATTATATTAGGATGAAGAAACACATGCTCTGGATGTAATCATTATGACTTTAATAAGATGCACAGCTGTGTTATATTGTTATTATCAGTTCAATAATCTTAGACAGTTGGATTCAAAATACGTTTTAGGTAAAATATTATTTTATTTTTAAATGTACTGTGATTTAATTTTGACTGTTTTTTTTTAAATGTTTTTTTGATTGGTAATGACATTTATCTTATTGTATTAATTATGAAGGTTAGCAGGTTGTCTAGACCGTTAAATGTATGAACTAGACATGGTCTTTTTAGTTTTTATGACATATAAAATAAAGTAGAAATATTTTTTTCGATTCCATAAATACTTTCTAATGAGTAATATGTTTGCAAGGTCAATTAATAATTAAACAATATTTTTGCAACTAAGCTTTTTATTTCACTGTTTTCTTCATTGTCAAGATTATGATTCCCTGATTGATATAGCCTTCTTTTAATTCACCTACAGCAATCTGTAAACGACTTTAAAATCTGTTATAATTTCTTTGAAGCATTTGTGATAATTAATAAAAACTATGAATCATTCTTGTTATAATTGATTGCCAAGGAACTTTTGATAAATAATAAACAAAACAAACTCTTATGTTTTCTTACATAATCATTTTTTCTTTAGTGAATATGTGTAAATATTCAGTCACTCACTAAAATAACAATAATTTTATTGGGTTGTTAAAAGTTCTTTATCATCACCCTGTTGGTGTAATATTTACATTTGAAACTTCTGTTATATTTATTAAATCAAAAATGATTGATTGTTGATTGATTATTTAATTTGAAATTAAGCATTTTAATTTGTTTTTACATTATTTATTATAATTGTTACCATTATTTGTTTATCAATTTGTAAAACTAGTAATTACATATCTAAAACAATAGGTTAGATTGTTATTAAAAAAATTATCTTTGAATGGTTAAGTAACTACTGAAATATTTTACTTTCCTTTTGAATCATAAATTGGCTGCATGATATCTGTTTTTGCTTTCATTAATTATTTTATATACTGTTTAATATATATTTACCACTTTCTTTTTTTTTTTTTTTAGTACTCTGTATAATTTTATTTCACATATTCTTATATTCTTTATTTAAAATTAGTTAATTACTTACAACTTGTAAATTTTATAGTATTTATCTACAAATTTGTGAATAATCATTAATTTTATTAATCAATTTCATATTTATAATAAACTGTATTTTTTTTAGGTATTGCTGCCTTATTTACAGTAATTTCCAGTTTTGTTTTTAGTACCATAGTAATACATTACTTACACGGAGACTTAAAGTAAGCTTTTAGGTACTTGTTTAAAAAAAATCGGATTTAATGAAATTATGCATGGTTATTGGCTAGGAGCAGTAGCCTTGGGTCCTCATCAACATGTATATCAGAGTAGCTAATTATAATTAATAAAAAAAAAAATATTTTATTCATTTTTGGATAGTAGAACTGTTTAACATTTCAATATTAATTTTTGTGTTCCCATTTTCCTAAATCCGATTTATTGTTTTAATAATTAATATAGTATTATAATAATATAATAATCTATATATATATATATAAATATTTTATTACAGAGATGCAATGTTTTTGTTCCTATTAGTTTTACTTGTTAACTTAAAAAAGGCTAGTCTTATGGCGCAATTTGCACTTAGTGGCTGTTCACAAACTGAAGTGATTAATAATATATCCAAAGGCTTGTCGTTGCTTGGTCCATCAATTTCTTTGGACTCCATTGTATTTGGTCTTGTTACCAGTGTTGGTATGCTATCTGGTGTTGAACGTTTAGAAACATTATGCATGTTCACATGTATGTCGTTCATTGTGAACTATGTGGTAATCATGAGTTTCTACCCAGCTTGTTTATCTCTCGTATTGGATGTAAGATATTTTATATTTATAAAATTTTTATGGTTTAAGTGTTACTAATAGAATTTTTATTATTTAATGTTTAATCAATAGTTACTGAGAGGAGGAGATGAAAATTGTATGCCAATTTGGGGTGACCGATCTCAAATAACTGCTATTTGTAATGATCATAAAACTGATCCAATCACACAACGTGTTAAGGTGATAATGTCAGTTGGTGTAATGATTGTTCACGCTCAGAGGTATGATTTCATTCATAGCTTTAAAAATAGTGTAGGATTTGCATAAGAAATACTACTAGCACCTTCAGTTATCCTTTAGTGATCCGTATTTGTATATATATATATATATATATATTTATTTATTTATCTAGAAAAATATTTTTCATGTTCTAAGAATAGTAAGATTTAAATAAAAATTATTACAATAGAATTTATTCTTATAACATTTGTGTGTATCTTGTTTTAGTAGGGATAATATTCAATATTTCTTTACTTTTTTACTTTTTGTGATCTTATAAACTTCTTTACACTATTTTAGTCGATGGGCATTAAGTGGTATGGAAACAGAAGCCGACAATATGTTAGGAATACAAGTTACAAAGTTTGCTGTATTTAATGAAACAGAAGAGAATACTCATCGTTCAGTTCATAACTCTATTATACAGTAAGTAAATATCTTTAAATAACTTATATTTTCACACCAATTACATTTAAACAATATCAAAATATGATTCTAATATTAATTAATTTCCCATAGTTGGATGGCTGGTGGAGCCGATCATATAGTCATATTGATCATTTTAACATCAATAATAGTTTGGTTTTGGTTCTTTGGAGACCGCGATGAACTTGCTAGTCACTTAGCATTAGCAAGTAAACCATTACATTATACATCTGGTGAGTACAATATTGAAGTATATACTATGTATATTAAAAAATTTGAATAGATATTGTATTTTCAGTATAGCTTTGTAATTCTTTTAACTGTAACATATTTTTGACCTTAAAGATTTGGAAAGATAATTCTATTGTCAATGATCTTTTTACACTGAAACATTATAATATTTAGTGTTTGCATTTTGTCGTTGATGATTTAACTCCTTATAAAATCTACATTAATATCTTACATAATCCAAACTAAAATGTGTATGAATTAACATAATACATAAAGTTTTGTTGAACTTATTATATTTATTTTTCTTGTATATAGGTAATTCAGTACATGAAACATTAAAAAATATTCAGCATATTAAAAGCCTCACTGATAATCAAAGCCCAGCAAAAATAACTTTAAATAAAATGATTCAAACAGAAGATGTTGATAGTAACATTATTCCAGATGAAAACAATATGGAAATCAGAACATTTGATGAATGTTTAGATATATACAAAACTCAGGTAAATTAAATTATGTTTAAAGAGAAGTCTCTTTAAAAAAGTTTAGAGTTTTACTTTAATACTTTAAGATTATTTATATATGGCATAGTATAATTTTTTGCTTTATTATTTAACAATTTTAAAAAATAATTAATTGTAGTGTTAATAATAATATAAAATTTAAATTAATTATTCTGACAGTTTTATTTTAAATATGACTATATTTAAAGTTAATTAAATTAATTACTTAAAATCCAAGCCAGTTTATAAATTATCATTGCAATTAATATCACCGTTGATTTTAATTTTCATTACATACTGTGTAGTAAAATAATTACGAAATCAATTTAAGAATTAATATTCAACAATAATTTATGTTATAAGAACTATTAAATAAATGATTATTATTTTAGTATTAATACTATAAATCTTTAAAAAAATACCTTGATTTTATTATCATAAATATTTTAATTATTTTTAATTAATCAATTTTATTTTAATTTGATTAGTAAAATTTTACTACATTTCATTTTTGAGTACTTCTAATCTTGTACTGTAAAATTGTATCTGTTTATTTTTTTAGAAATCAGCAGAAAAATTAAATGATGAAGAAGTATTAATGTTAGTTAAATCAAATCATATAAAACCATACATGTTGGAAAAATGTGTCAATAACCCGGAGAGAGGTGTTGGACTCAGAAGGAAAGTAATTGCAAAAGAAAACAATTTGACAAAAGCCTTAACAGAATTACCTTATATTGGTTATGATTATTCAAAAGTAGGTGCATTTTGTTTTAGAACCAATTATTGTAGTAGTAACTTCATAGTAATATATTGTTTGTTAATTAAATAATTTTAGGTTTTAGGAACAAATTGTGAAAATGTTATCGGTTATGTAGCTGTGCCTGTCGGAGTTGCTGGGCCATTGCTTGTAGACGATGTATTTTATCAAGTGCCTATGGCTACAACTGAAGGTTGTTTAGTAGCAAGTACAAATAGAGGATGCAGAGCTTTGACAATATGTGGCGGTGTTATAACTAGAATTGTGGATGATGGTATGACTAGAGGACCTGTAGTGAGATTTTCTTCTGTTACTACTGCTAGGTATGTACTTGGTATCTATTTGAGCTATTTATATTTTCTGAAAATAATGTGCTATTTCAATTTATACTCATTAGCGAAGCAAAATTATGGATGGATAATCCAGAAAATTTCAAAATAATAAAGTCTGCATTTGATTCAACAAGTAGATTTGCTAGACTTACCAAATTACTCGTACGCATAGCTGGTCGACATTTATTTATTCGATTCACAGCTTCGACTGGTGATGCTATGGGCATGAACATGTTATCTAAAGTAAATTTTAATTCATTATTTACATGAGTTATTTGTAATAATGATTTCATGTCCAAAAAACTTTTATACTTTTATAATACAATGATTGTGTATATAATTTTGTAATTATGTATTTTTATAGGGAACAGAAGAATCTCTCAGAATTATTGGAGGATATTTCCCTGATATGGAAGTATTAAGTTTAAGCGGTAATTTTTGTTCAGATAAGAAACCAGCTGCAGTAAATTGGTATATTATTGTATAAATGTTTTATGAATATGTCCCTTATTGAATAACACAAATTTTCTTGTATAGGATTGAAGGTCGAGGAAAATATGTTGTAAGTGAAGCCATTGTACCTTCAAAAATTGTTACAGATGTATTAAAAACTACTGTAGCAGCATTAGTTGATGTTAACATCAGTAAAAATTTAATGGGATCAGCAATAGCTGGTAGTATCGGGGGGAATAATGCTCATGCTGCTAACATTGTCACAGCTGTATACATTGCTACAGGACAGGTAATAATAAATCATTATTTTCTTTTATAAACTGTACTTTAGTAATTACCATAAATCGATTTACAGGATCCAGCACAAAATGTAGCGAGTAGTAATTGCATGACGCTAATGGAAGCATTTGGAGATGACCTCTATGTGTCATGTACAATGCCTTCCGTTGAGATTGGTACAGTAGGCGGTGGAACATCGCTACCTGGTCAATCGGCATGTTTGGAAATGCTTGGAGTACGAGGAGCACATTCTCAAACACCGGGTGACAATGCTAAACGGTTAGCACGTATTTTGTGTGCAACGGTTTTGGCTGGTGAACTGTCACTGATGTCTGCCTTAACTGCTGGTCACTTAGTGAAAAGTCATATGGCTCACAATAGGTATGAGAATGATGATTTATTGATTTTTATCATATATATTATTTGCAACTAATTGCACTTAAAAGAGTAGGTTATAAAATATTAAAGGAAAATATTTTGGCAATAATAGGTTAAATATAGTACTATGTGTGTACATCTTCAAATGCATTTAATTATATCTTAAACAGCTAATTGAAATTTATATTAATTAATAAGTTATGCAATTTACTTGAAATAACATAATAATCTTTTCAGTGGTATCCAAAAAAATACACAATATATTTCAATTATTTTCATAACAGTACATTAAATTAACAGATTAATTTAGTGCATACCATAATAATAACCTTTTTAAGTCTAGTGATTTTCAAACTATGATGTTTTTAACTTAAATAAGTTAATGTTATTTATTATAAATTTTAAAATATAATATACTAAATGTTTTTTCGGAACCGATTGCACTTTATAAATATTTAACAAAATAATGTTTCAGTGGTTCTAATTCATAATCTTATAGAATATAATCAATTACAGTTTAATTTAAATTAAATTACATTAGTTTTCAACCAGTCAACTATTGAGTAATTAAGTAATTAAATTGAGTTATATTATTTATTATTATAATTTTGTAGACCTAAATAAAAAATAATAGTGTTAAACAAAATATCAATTTGATTACACAAAAAGTACATTGAACCATTAATATAAACTATTGATAATAAATATTGCTTAATATTAGATAGTTAGAATATCTTTAATTTTAAAATTATTGTTTTAACATTTTACAGAACATCCACATTATCAAAACCGGCCGTTCAGGATTTAGAATCAAAACCATGCCACCAAAACAAACAATTTACAAGTTGTGTATCATGAGTGATATGAAATTAATTTATTTTATATTATGCTTAATTATTTTTTATTGGAATATATATAAACTGTTGTACATAAATAAAATGCATTTTATTATAGCTAATGTTTTCTGTGATGAATTATGCTTTTTGTTCTACTTTATATGGGTTATTGTAAAATGAACTAAAATGTTGTGAATTTATACATAATACATTATACATAGAATAAATATAAATATAATTATATAAAAAAATGGAAAAACTAGCAAATAGTTGGATATCAAATTTATTATAATACATAAAAAAATATGTCATTATACAATACAATTTTAACATGTACATAATTATTAAAAATTACAAATGTAAAAATGTTGTTGTAAACATTGAATTTTGATACATTTTATAGTAAAAATCGATAAAAATGAAGAATCGTTTATATATTTATATTTTAAATATAACCAATGTGTATTAATTTATTGACTACAAACAAATAATGTGTTTTAAATTAAATTTGATCAAATTTAATAAATGCTTTAACTATGAACAACATTAGAAGGTCTTCGAGCTTCAATTATTTGTTCATAGTATTCTTGAGGTAAACCAACTTTTTTCAAACATTCATCACTAGATTCAAACATCTCATCTTTGAAATAATATATCATTGCTTCCCAGCATATAACTTTTAATTTAGGTATTATTATCCATGCACTTGTTATATCATTCGATCGACCACCATTACCGTCCAAGACTCCTCCATTAGAAACTATGCCACCATAACAACACATGCGGCCCGAAGGAGTCACAGCAGTCGAATGAAAATACACTGGTTGAGGCATTGTACACCTGGTGAGTTTTTCCCACTGCAAGTTGTCTAAATCAAAACGCCAAACATCTCTAAAGGCTCGTATTCCATTGAATCCACCACAAACGTACACAAAATTTGGGTTTTCAGGACACTGAACACAACTATGGCAACTTCGATTATCTGGGTAACCAGGTCTTGGTACCCTGTGGTCTTGTTTTGCAGGGAGAAATTGCCACTGTCTGGTGGTAACATCGAACATATGGATTTTCTAGAAGAAATAAATAGTTTTAAAATACACTCATTACATTTTGTCAATAGTTCAATGTAATATTGCTTTATATTGCTATATATAAATTTATTTAAATAAAAATCACATTTTATAATGGGATAAAAAGTTACTTAAATTAGATTAACTATAATGTAAATTTATGTTTCTTTTTTCATTTGTAATATAATCACAATAGTTGAATGTATGTAAGGGCAATACCAATAGAGCTTTGTTATCATTTGGGCTCGGATTTCAATGTATTTGCATTTTCTTTTTTTGGAATGTTTTACAGGATGTTTTCTAAGCTTTAAATGTGTTAAGTAATCCATATTGGAACTACAAAATTTTTTTGAAGCGTTTTTTGCATTTTTAGCGGATTTTATACTTTTAGGCATTTTTAACATTTTTAATGCATTTTTTAAATTTAATTAGACATTTTTTACCTATTTCTTGTAATATGACTAAAAAAAAATATTTACTTATGGAAATAAAAATTATACTATGTGATATAAATCATTTTTATTTTGAACTATATAACATCAGACAAGGCTGAAATTTATCTTGATTTTTGTCACATAATGTACATACTACCCAATGAGTCAATTTAATGATATAAAACTTTTATCGGCGTATTTTCTTATCGAGCGATAATATTATACTGGCAGTATGTGTGGCCAATAGATGCTTTTAATTGTGTGTTGCATATTACGTTGTAAGTATTGCAGATGCATTTCATATGCTACATATTTTTTTTGTATTTTTTAAAAGGGTATCTTTTTAATTTTTTGGAGCATTTTTTAAAGTTTTAGGTCATAAATGCATTTTTTAAAAATATTTTAAATATTTTTAGGGTATTTTAATTTGAGCATTGGTTATCATCAATATTATAAATATACCTCAGCTATTGAGTAAATTATATTTTGCAAATTAATAGAACATAGTAGAAAATAAGGAAAAAAATGGGGGTAAGAAAGATGTTTGAAAGAACACAATATGAATATTTAAGAAAATACCTATAATAGTACTTGTAATTAAACAAATACAACTCAAATTAAAAATAATGTTGAGTTATTGAGTATTTATGATTATTCTTATACATTTTATATTTGAGTTATCAAAATTAAAGTTTAATTAATGATAAAAATTGATTTTTAAAATACAAAAATCACAAATAAATGTATTCTGAAGTTAAGTGGGAATAAATCTTATCATAAAGTAAAAATTTTGTATTTAATGACTTTCAGTTTCTCAGTCAGACCCAAAGAAAACTAAATAACTGTCAAAACATTTGTATTATAATAATAGTTGCTGGCCTAGATGGTGCTTCTATATGAGTTGTGTGCAAAGAGAGTAGGGAGAGCGTGTGTATACATTCCGAAGAATCGAGTCAAGAAGTATGTAGTTAAAATGGTTAATAATGACTAAAGTTGGTTACTGCGACAATGGTAAAAGTGACTTGTCACCATTCTTTTCTACAGCAGGCACCAGTTACCACAACAGTCATAGAGTGTGGACATCTACACAATTTCTGCATATATAAATATACTATATTGTTGTCAATATTATAAGTCAAATCACCACTTACCATTTATTTTTTTTCACTGTCACAGTAACAAATTAATAGTAACATGATTTTTTGCTCATCACTAGTGAGCACTGTGTTGAGTAAACAATCCTCTTTGTTATTGTTGTCTGTTATGGAACTGCATTTATTATTATTATATTGTATTGTGATTTTTAATTTATTGAACACCATTAAGGTATTATCAACTACAATAAATCTTATTTATGCCTAATTCCCACATAAATAAGATATGACACTAACCGAAAATCCATAGTATATATTTGTTGAACCTCCTCGTCCACCACCAAATATGTATACACCACCATTGTAGAATACCACTTCATGTCGATACCTAGGCTCAGGTTCTTGGCCTTTACCTTGTGATTTATGTAACAACTCCCATTTCCTAGTACTTAGATCAAGTCGATGGACATCCATCTCATATTCGTGACCAGATGTGCCTCCAATGGAATAAATATATTTACCATCCATTACAACACCTTGCCCATATAATGGCATCGGAACATCACCAGATACTTGTAGTTCTTCAAATTTCATCCCAACTTCTTTATATTCATTGGCTAAATTTCCTGAAAACATGAATAGTAATTTAGTTCATCTGAACTATTAATTTATGTTTTTCCAAAATCTTACCCAAGTACATTCGATTGCTACAAAATGCTCCAAATGGAACTCCAGTACCACCATATATAATGATAATGTTACCAGATAAAGTAACAGAACTAGACGCTAATTCTTGAGGAACATCTTTACACGATATTATCTTCCATTCACCTAAATCAAAACAATATTTCCAAAGTTCTCGCATAACTGAAGACACTCGTTGGCCATGTGCATCCTAAAAGTAATACCATAATCAATTATACATTAAAAGATTAAATAAATTTAGCCATCAATACAGGTATTGTGAAGTAAAATTATTTCTGAAGAAATTTGGAAAAAATTTAAATCAACAAAATGTTCAATCAAGAAAAATAGACTTGTCTTACATTTGTTCGAGGATTAAAACCTCCATATGAAAATAAATATGCATTGTTGCACACCACACGATGACCACTCCTGGCTAATGGTAGCTGCGATTGGTCAAGGTTTTTCTTAAGCACAGTGAATACAAAAGGTTTAAACTTGTATATCGGAAGACTGTTGCTGTTTTTTGACATTTTTCATTGCATACCACCTAATAGAAAAACTTAGTTGCTCAACAAAGTCACAATTTATAGTACAACCATTCTGTTTAAACTCTATTTCGATAATACAAGAAGATACTAATGGAAACATAGACTAAATTATGCACCAGGACGTGACTAGAACAAATGGCACGCGGTGGACTAGTCTAAATGTTCCGAAGAGATTGAATCACTTACCAGACGAGATGATAGACACAATGATCCAGGAATAACAAAACGCGAATACGGTTAGAGTTACTACAAATGGGCAACCAGAAGTTGATGAGCAATAGTCAAGTTGAGATTAGAATATGTATCGTATATTAATTAATCTATGGTTTTACTGACAAAACGGAATCAGTAGGTTCGTAAAGACAGCGCTAACAGTGATGAGCCCATATTACGATGCAACGCGTCCGTGATATCTTTGTAGGAAATGTTTTCTGCTCTCACGAATACGCGTTATCCAATTGATATTGTGTTATCATATTATCATCATTTTTATCTCAGCGACTCAGCACAGATTACCTAAAAATCTCATGTGATTACTGTTTATCCGAGGATAGGACCAATTCGAAGTTACATTCGATTATCACACGCCTTCGTTGTGTTAACAACTAACGAAGGTACAATAAAATAATTACTGTGGGTTGGAAGATATTATTACACATTTTTATCTTGAATTATGCATATCAGAATGGCTTTAATCGGAATCTTTTGTTAAGATTGCTTCAATATTGTCCAAGACCACGGTCGTAACATAATTATGTCTATAATTATATAATAGCCGTAAATAACTTTTGAAATTCGGTGACTAATTTTCTGGCTACTTTATACATGCGATAACTAGAATATAAGAAAAACAGCAAGACATGTTTGATGTAGTTGCGGTGTAGTAGACGCCGAAGCGTGTACCTGTTTTGATCATCCATCATCGTAGAAAACAATGTCCATCATGATTTAGGATTACGGTTATCACAATGTCTAGGATTATTATTTCGTGGTTGTGACAGTTACTATCACATCACTAACACATATCAAAGTATAAGGTCTATGGGTTGACCGAAACCGAGGTTGATACGGTTGTACTGTGATAGAGATATTGTGATAGCACAAAATAAGTTATGAAATGATGCTGTGATAGATTGATATTTTTTCGATAATTGCATTAATAAGATAGGTGTGTATTATATAATTATTTATCCGATTAATTTAAAATTATTCGTAATATTAATTATTATGCTGGTAACGTAGGGTTATAGACATTTTTTTTCGTCACTTATTCACAAATAAACCGTGATACAAAAATAACCTAAGAAAATTTAAAAAATTAATTCCCCGCGAAACAGTTTCGTCGTATGGAAAAATAGTCGGTTTTAATTAAACTATTAATTATTTTTAGGAAAAAATAAAATAATGTTTTAACACAAGTAACTTGTCGTTGGATATATTATAGTTACACGAAACGTGGTTTTTAAAAAGGTATTTTGGAAAATCGGAGCGATAAAAACGTTATCCTGAAATTCCCGGTATTTTGTTATCATTGTTGCAATGAGCGGTAACCACATATTAATATACATATCTGTGGCGGCAACTCACTGCAGCCGGTTGCATTACAGATGTTTTATGTTAGTTGAATTTGAAATTTTATATTAGTCGTCATTCTGTTCGCTCTCAGTGTTGGTGTCCTTGTTTGAGTTAATAACTTTCTGTTAGTTCGTAATTTATTGCATTAAACTTTAGTGAGTACTTTCAGCATTATTATAAAATCTTTTCTTATTGGTTGGGTTTATATTTTTGATTCTGAAATTATTTGTTCTCGAATTGTTTTTTTTTTGTTACCTAGAATAACTTTATATGCGCTAACAATCCAGTGTTTTCATAGAACTGTGAAATTGTTTTGTTTGAATAATCAAATTATGAGTGCATTAATTAATCGTCGAAATCGTATTCGGGTGAGTAAAATTATTGTATTTATGATAAAAATTATTTATTCTGGGATTTGGGTTACTCTTTTAGCTGAATTCAGGAGCACCTAATGAAGATGACGCTTCTCTCAGTGTGACTGATAGTAGTGCTCCTGACAATAATATGTCTGAGGACAATGTTACACCTATTAAAGAAGAAAATGATTTTGAGATGGATTCTGAACAGGATGATCCTACAGGTAAAATTAGTTGGTATAAGAACATAATTAAACATAAAATGATAGTTTAATTATTTATGTGATTAAACTGATTCAATTGTTAGTGTTGATTATTCCTTAGTATTATACTATGCAAATGATTATTATTATTCTTGATGATTATACCTATAGTTTTTTGTATAGGGATTTGAAGTTGTTATGTTTTTAATCAATTATCAAAACTAATTTTACCATCAACTAACTTTTAAATAAACTTTTATTTTTAGAATTTCAAATGTATGATATTTGTTATAATATTTATATTCAATAAATAATTATCTTATTAATTTACTTTATTAGGCTTGGAAGGAGCAGCATTTCATAGTCGTCTTCCCTTTGATAAAATGACTTCAAATGAAGCCTATTGCTTTGCAGATGTAGCTCATGGACCGACACAAACTCAAAAAATTTTTTTACATATTCGCAATCGATTGGTAAGTGCTATACTTTAGTGAAATAAATATATATTTTTAATATTTAAATTTATAATAAAATAATAACAATGTAATAATCTTATTTTAATATTAGTTACAACAATGGTTGGATAATCCAAAACAACAATTAATTTTTGAATCTGCTTTACCATCCATTGAACCACCTTTCAATACTGACAAAGTTCTTATTTATCGAATTTTTACATACTTAGAACGTCATGGCTTCATAAATTTTGGTGTATTTAAGAGATTGAAAGTAAATATTGCATATTACTTTTGTATATTTATAAAAATATTTAATTTGTATCTTTAATTTTAGCCTCTACCTATAAAGAAAATTGGTAAAGCTATCATTATTGGAGCAGGTATTGCAGGGTTAGCTGCTGCCCAACAAATGCAACAATTTGGCATGGAAGTAGTGGTCCTAGAAGCAAGGGTATTTTAATGAAATATATTAATAACCGACTGGTATATTTTTATAATATAAATTATTCCTTGTTTAAGGATCGAGTTGGTGGACGTATCGCTACTTTTAGAAAAAACAGTTATGTCGCTGATTTGGGTGCTATGGTTGTGACTGGTCTAGGAGGTAATCCAGTTACTGTACTATCTAAGCAAATTAACATGGAACTTCATCGTATTCGTCAAAAATGTCCATTATATGAACCTGGAAAATTAAATGCATTGGTATCAACTGTATGTATAAAATTCAATGATTATATTTGTAATATATTACTTGAACTTGACTGTGTATATTTTATTTTACAGCAAGTTCCTAAAGATAAAGATGAAATGGTAGAGCGGGAATTTAACCGCCTCTTAGAAGCTACAAGCTATTTATCTCATCATTTGGATTTCAATTATTGTAATGGAAAACCTGTTTCACTTGGTCATGCATTGGAATGGGTTATAAAGTTTGTACTTTTAATTTAATTAAGAAAACTACTTTTTATTTAATAGTTTTGTATTATTTCCAATAATTTTCAATTATAATTATATTAATAAGTTAACTATTAATAATAAACGGAAAAAATGTATTTCAATGTATATAATAATAATTAACCATTCAAAATACTTAAAAAGAAAAGCTTTTGACATGTGTATTTTATAGAGAATTTTATTAATATTGCATCTTAAAGTATTAAAATAAGAGTAAAATACCTAAAAAAAGAAAATCATTAGTTACTAATATTTGAACTAGTTTATTTAATTCTTTTCTATGACTATACATTTTTTTTTTCCAAAAATTATATTACTGCAACTGTTTGTAATACATTTTGACTAAATATTTATTAAATCATACATTTTTTCCAATTATTAGTAGTAATGTCTGTAAATAAAATTATGGAATAGTTTTAATAAGAAAATATATAAAATTAATATTTTATTTATCATAGATTACAAGAGAAACATGTCAAAGAGAAATTGACTCAGTATATGAAAAATTATGTAGCATTACAAGAACGATTGAAAACCATTCATAAAAAGGTATATTACATAAAATTCCATTTCATAAAAGTTGATGTGTTATTCTTAAAAATGTCAAATACCATAATAAAGTTTTATCTTTAATAAACATTAATTTGTTCAGTATGTGATCTTGTATAATGAATAAAGTTGATGGTTAATATTTAATGAGCTTAATCATTTTTATTTAATAGTTTATTCATAATTAAGCAATTGCTATAGTTGGAATTCTATTTTGTGCATCTTAATTACTAATTTTTTTTTTATGTCACTCTAAATTTTTTTCAAATAAATTATAATTTATTTATTACAATAAAATATTAAAAACCTCTAGCAACATTCAATATTTATGGAGAATTGATTAAATAAAGCAGAACAGATATGATTAGTGTTGCATAGTGAAAATATTACATGTAAAAACTATTATGCATTAAGAATGAAAAAAAAATCAAACTCACTATTTCTTGTATTTATTGTAATGCCAATGATAAATTTTATCTATAATTTTATGTCTTTATTGAAAAATAACTAAAAATAAACTAATATTTTTTATTTTGAGTTACAATACCAATTTTAGATCGTTATAAGTTATATTAGTATTATAACTATAAGTCATAAAAATATTTGAGGTATATCATACATTGACCTTTAGTTTTAAAATATATAATACTTAAATGTCTCAAATTATTATATGTTTGATTAGATAATTCATGTGCAAGACATTTTAAGTGATTTAGCCACACAACAAAGAGAAGGCTTTGAAGAAAAGAATAATGATGTTAGTGCAAATTTTGCATACCTTTCAGCTACAAGAGAAATAGCTCTCAATATCAAAGTAAGTTTAAATTATTTTATAGTAGCTGATAAAATCAATATTATTATTATTAACAAATTTGTATATAAAAAATTGCTTTCTAATATTTTGTAAATATGAGATTACTGTTACTATTAACTAGGGCCCGGATTTAAATGCACTTAAAACCATATAAATATGCTATTAAAAAAAATAGTTGTGGGCATTATTTAACAATCTATTAAATACATTTTAATCACATTCACACGTAATACGAGCAAAGTCTGCGATGTAATACGAACTAAAGTTGATTTGTTATTTGACCAAATACTGGTGACGTTCCATAGTCAATAATAAATTGAGATAAAATAAAAACTGAATCGAAAAATAAAGATTGACAATGTGTATGAAAAACCTGATAAACCTACTTAAATATCAAGAAAATAATTTTTCTTTTAATTTTATTTTAAATAGGCTAAATTTGTTTAGTACATCGAACAAATATGCATTAAAAACCAACAAAATGACCCAATAATACTAAAAATGAAAAAACGTCGAAATATGCAAAATATAATTTGTAGTTTTGAAACCCTCATTACATGAATCGAATAATGTTCTTAGAGAGCATTGTGTATGATTAACCAAAAAAATATGCACTTTGCATTGAAATCTGGGCCCTACTAATAACATCTCAGACAATGGTAGAATTGATAACTCATTATTAATAGAAACAGTGTTGGATTTAAGGGAAGGGCCTTGGCCCCCCTCCATTGGCTTAAATTAGGTTTTATTACTTCAATAGTGTTTAGTTTTTATTTTAATCTTTATAATTTTATCTTTTATATTGTTTCGTTCAAAAATAATGATATAAATTATATAATAATAATATAATACTATAATGATATAAGAATTTCCAAACATTTGTCAACTTTTACTAACTTTGCAATATTACCTGTAACAACATTGACAAGTGAGCAGTCTTTCTCAACGCTAAAACGCATAAAAACATATTTAAGAACCACAATGGGGGAAAACCATTTAAATAAATTAGCTTTGTTTAATATCCATAAACAAATTGATGTAAAACTTGAAGAAGTATTAGATATGTTTTCAAAATCTAATCCTAGGAGATTAAAATTATCTTTATCGTTATACATTTCTTTCAATATTATTATAATTTAAATATAATCTTTAACAAATAAAAAAAATGCACATTTAAAATTATTGTCTATTTGTATGTACCTATTTGTTAATTACTAAAATACCTAAAATTTGCATTTTGGACCATGCCCCCCCCAATTAAATCCTGGATTCACCACTAAATAGAAACTGATATTGACAGACAATGTTAGAAAATAAATTTTCTCTTACTTAGTACGTATATTTATAGGCAGTGTTAGAATCATAGATAAACACTAGATTTCATAACATCATTTTCATTTCATGATATTATTAACATTATTAACATTATGAATATTACAATAAACTATTTAACAAATTTGATTAAAATACTTGATTTAATTATTTTAGATACTTTTATATTTTCTTTCAAAATGACAAAATTTTATACTATTTTTAAAAATCTTATCAAAAATATAATATTTGAATATTTGAATATTTTGTACATTGCATATTTTAAATATGTATTTCCTTAACTTATATAAAAGTAGAACATTTTGTACGACATACTGTATTGAGTACATTGTATAAATATTTTAAAAATAATGGTTTTATTTGAAAAAAATTGTATTTAAGATGCATAAACTGGATTAATTTATAAATTTTAAATTAATATTAAAATAAGTATTAAATAATCAATCAAATTATATAGTTATATAAGTTATATAGTTTAAATTCTAAATTTGTATTCTACTGTACATTTTTTTAAATATGATTTAATTTTATAGCAATGGGATGAATTAATTGAAGAAAAAAATGAAATTGAAGAAAAGTTGAAAGAAATAGAAGCAGCTCATCCTAGGTATGTATTATATACTCATCATTCATTTAAGTACTTAAGATATGATAAATGAAAATATTTAGTGATAATTATTAAAATTGTATCAATTTTAAGGTAATTTTATTTATTATTGTGTTTATATATATTAACATTAGTGTGGCTGTTATACTGTACTTTTAATTTTTTCAACCATAATTATAAATTGTATACACCTTAGTTGTATCACTCACATTTCTTTGATTTTTTTTATTAAATCTACTCTCCAATAATTATATTGATATATTTAAAGCATAACAAATGTACACAATCATTTAAATTTCTCATAAATAATTATTATGATCCCCCATAACAATGTTTTATTTCTATAGATGTTAATGCTAGTTTATAACTGAATATTTCAATGTAAATGATTATTTAATATATATATTAATATAAATAATTATACAATTTTTTACATTAATGCTCTGAAATATTTGTGAAATATTAAATATTAAATAACATATAATAATATGTTCCTATTTATTGTAAAAACCAATTAAGTCTAGTATAGAAGTTATAAATATGACATACACCAATAGTTACTGGTCGAAGGTTATTTCTATAATTTATTTATTTTTTATTAACAGAAAATGTACTTTATTATAATGTATAAAAATATATCAATGAATTTATACCTTTAATTTTTTGGAAAATATTTTTGATAAAAGAAACTATTTTAAACTCCACAAATATTTGTTTTAATTACTTAATAAAATTCAATCCTATATTTATTGTCTATATGTTTTTCTGTAGAGACAGGCTCTGAGAAATTTTCCTTGTAGGAACAGTTTCACCCATTGACAGTTCTTTGTTAATATTAAATTTCTTTCGATAATTTGTTTTTTTTTTAAACAAGTGATTTTCTAAAGATTTTCAGTTCCCATCCCTATAAAATTTTTATAACCCTTTATCTAGACTAGTACTTCCCAAACTTTTCTGACTCATGGTGCCCTTTTCGATCTAAGTAGTTTTCAGGGTGCCTTTTCTTAAGTCATAGCACGACTAATCATAAGGAAAAATTTACACTAGATAGTACTTCTTGACGACCCGGCACCTCTGTACAAACATCGGGGCGCACACTTTGGGAACCGCTGATCTAGACTAATTATTAATATTTAATATTAAAGACAAAACTATTAAAGATAATTGGGTTAAAGTTTCATTGACTTAAGTTTGTTAACTTTTTATAGTGATGTCTATTTATCAACAAAAGATCGTCAGATTTTGGATTGGCATTTTGCAAACTTGGAGTTTGCCAATGCTACTCCTCTAAATAACCTGTCATTAAAACATTGGGACCAAGATGACGATTTTGAATTTACTGGAAATCATCTAACAGGTTAGTGTTATTTTACTTATATTTATAATAAAGTTTGTTAAAAATAAAAAAATATCAAATACCTCAGATTATCCGCGATGTATTTGTTGACTGATTTTTTTAAGGAAATATACATCCAAAGGAATTTGTGTTTTTCCCAATGCACATCAAATTAATTATCAACACATGCTAGTATTCGGTATTGTTACAAACAAATGTATAAGAAAATTTCATGATTACTTAATAGAATAATAGCATCTATATCCTATGGAAATATCACAGTATATTCAAGTTTTTATACATTTTTACTTTGTTGTATTTACCTGTGGGGATATAATTATATATTCATGGTATTTTTAATATATTAATTATTGCATATGCCCATATAAAAAAAAGTACATGAAATCTTAACCTATATTAATTATTTTAACCTTTTCTAATCAATATTTCTACATAAAATACAAATTATTGCACATTTTTGTATAGAATCAGCTCCTGTATGTATATATATATATTTTGTATTTTTAATTCAATTTCAATTTAGTTGATTATTGAGTTCAGATAAATTTGAAGTAATTATAGTAATTTTAATTATAATATTATAGAAATATTTCTGATACTATTTTGATAACTAAGAATAGATAAAAAAAAAAAATTGATATTATAATATAATATCAAGATGATATTATCATCTATTTTATTGTTTCTTTTTGAAAAAGTAGCCTTTTAAAAATATTTGATTTGGCATAGTTCTACCTATTAATACATGAATATTAAGCTCTTGTAAATTAACTGTATATTACTACAAAAATATATTTTTAAATGTAACAACATTTATTAATTAAACATCGGTCACTTTTAGTTGTAATTGTTCTAAAATATTAAAAAGAAAATTTAAAGCTATACATAAAATATAGATCAGAATTTTAATTATATAATATCGATAAGAAAATAATTAAGCTGTTAAATTATTTTATAAAAAAAAAAAAATATTAATTATTCAAATACATAAAATTTTTTAAAATTAAATCAATTTAATAAATTATCAGTTTTTACAGAAAATTATTTATAGAGGTATCTACATAATTTAAAATCTATTATGTTTTAAATTGTTCAATTATAGTTAATTTTAAAAGGAAGAACTGTAAAAGTATTATATTTGCTTTTTATATTCAATCATTTATAAAGGGATTGTGAAACTTTTGTCCTGAACAAATAAAAGGAAAAATTGTAATACTGTGGTTAGTCACAAAGGGATAAAAGGATCTGCCCTTGGTGCTTAAAATTACATTCTATACATCTACATTTTGAATGAAACCATTTTTCTTATATAATAGAAATTGGATTGTCATTTATTTGTTGTAATCATTCGTAAATTGAATTGTATTGTTTATTACTTTGATATATTAAACAATGACAGTACAATTAATTGAACTTACTATAATATGTATTGATAAATTAAAAAAAATTAAACATTAAAAAATATTTTTTGAATTTCCTAGTAATTTTCGAGATTATGTCTATAAAATTAAATTATTGATTTTAATAAAACCTAGATCAATATTTGTAAAATTTACTGTTTTTTTAACACTATCATTTTCACATTCAAATTAAAAACAATAATTTACCGATGTCAGTTAGTTATATCTACATTCTATGGAATTTATTATTTTACTAATATATAGGTATATTAAATATATGAATAGTAGTAAACTATGTTTAAATATTTTCAAATAAAAGTATTATGATTTGTATCAATAGATAAATATGTTCTTATTTTTATTGAGTTCATATAAAATAATGATGCTTGCTGTTTCTCAATAATGTCTATGATTTTAACTTTTTGTCTTTGGATTCTTTTTTTTTTTTTACTATGTTTATTAAGAGTTACTTATGTTTTACGTATTTTAAATTATTTATAACTCACTGTACACGGTAACATACTTATTTCACTAAATTACACAAGTATAAATATTTATATTTTCGTTTAATTTTTTACTATCTACCATATAAACTTCGTATTTAATAAATCTTGTTTAACGTTGTTTGTTTTCAATTCAAATTTGTGTCTTAATGATAATTATGACGGCACTACGCCGAAGAAATATACAAATTTTGAATTTATGTAGTTTTGATATATTTAATTTTATTAGTTGTTTTTATACGTTAGAAAAAAAGTAATGGATAGTGTAAAAAAAGCAGTATAATATATACATCTATATACGGTTATATGTGTATTTACTCGTATATACGCAATATATATACATGCATATCAGTCTCAATGGGGGTTCGTGTGGAGAAAGTTTCTGTTTTACGAAATGTATTAAAGATCTATATATTGATTAATTGTCTAACGAGATCTTTGGGGCACGGATGTTGTAGTAGTCAAAAAGTAGGAAAATTGATTGCTGTGTTGTACTACAAAATACTGAAAATCGCGCTTAAAAAATTAAAAATTATACTGAAAAATAACGTTTCATTATAATTGATAAAACATGTTTTAAAAATGTTTAAACTCTAAAAATATCTAAAAAAAATAGTTACTTAAGAAAATAACTATAAGGATTTTTTTTTGACAGTTTATAATACTGTATTCAGCATTTAACTTTGCTTAATTTTTGGCATATTTACAAAAAAATAAAAGAACGGGATACCGCACAAAATTCCAGGACTGCCTGAAAAACAGATTCTCAAATAGGCACAATTCGCAAATTAACGTGTTAAGAATAATTTTATCTATATGAATTGTAAATATGACAAATCCGATAATTTTAGTAAGACACAGCCGATATGATTTTAAAAATAATCAAATATTTATAAGGGCAATAATGTCAATACACCATAAAAAATCATATACTTCAGACTTTAAGCTGTTTGATAATTTTACGGAACTTCTATGTAAAATAATTAAAATAGTTTTAGAAATGATTAATGTGAATAAAATTTCAATTGAAATGAAAAAATGGTAAAATATTGAATTTAAAATTTTTAGATTTTAATTTGTACTGACACGAAATGTATTTAAAACTTGCTTAGCAATTAATTAGAACAGTAGAAAAAAAAAGTTGCAAGTGTATCAAAACTCGCGCCCTAGTAATCTTAGTGCACTCAATTTGGTTACATATATTTATTTATTTTTCATATATTTTCAGTGTTATAATAATAAATTATCTAGATCAGTGATTTTTAACCTTTTTTTATTTCAGCGTCCTTTTACCGAGATAAATAATGGCTTACGCCCACCCTCTCTTCAAACCAATCAATACAATTGTCATACATTTAAGAATCAGTATTCTAATTTAAAATAAAAACTCATAATTTAATTTTTGGTTAATAAATATTTTATTTGACTCTAATTTAAACTTTTCTATACAAAAAATAATAATCCGTCATTCCTCTTTAATGCCCTAGGCTTGGTGAGTAGCTGCTAATTTTGCGATGTCTGGTTCAATGTTGGTTTAGGTTAAATGCAAATCACCTTTATTGCAAAAATTTAATCGATTACTTTGTTTCGTTAAAATCTGAACAACACTGAATCCTTTTTCGGCTAGATACATTGATGGAAAGGAAAGAAGTAACAGCTTAACTTTTTGTCATAGTTGTTGATACTGTATTAGTCCATTATTGGATTTTCTTGAAATCGTAAAATAGTCACTATTAAGTATAATAAATTCCGTTTATGATAATGCCTAATTTACAAGGGGGTCTAGTTAGTTGATAGTCTATATTATACTAGGGCATCAAAATAAAGCGAATACTGATAAAATGCCTATAATTCATTTAGTGTGATATAAAGGTATTTGTATTTTAATATTATATATATATATATACCTATATAAAATATATTTGACCATCATTACAACATAATGTATTATAATAAGGAATTTTCAGAGCAATAATTATCATAATTAATATTTTTTATACTATAAATAAATTTATGTCGGATGATCGTATGAGTGAATCATATCCACCTGTTTTTACTGGCTTAATATGTTTTTGATCTATTATTCTGTGTTGGAATAATACTAAATTAACATCGGTCAAAAAATTTTTTATTGGCAAAGAATAATAGAAAACAAAATTTAAAATAATTTACAACAATTATAATTATGTATCTAAAACTTCTTATGGATTAAGAACTCATGATTATATTCATGAGATTGCATATTCTATCTTATTATTACATATAATGTTTTGACATTATCAAATCTTTGTACCTATTACAAAGAATAAAAATACGAATATAATTGGAATGAGTAAATTTTAATTGCAAAATATAGTTAGTATATACCTATTAGTAATTAATTAGGTATTAATTGTGAGTATCAATTACTATACATAGGTACACACACACACATAAATATATTTATGTGTTTGTTTCAGTTAATGTTTATTTTGCATTAATCATAGAAACCGATATCTCACCACATTTAATATTTTTCTTCTGAAACAAAATTCAAATTGAATGTATTCTAACCAGGTAATTGTAGTAACCATTAAAGTATATTTAATTGTTTGTAATTGTTTTTATGAAAATTAAAATAAGGATTGTTATTTATATAGATGATTATTGTTCTTTTCATTTAGACTTAAGGATTTTCCAAAAATTTTAAATTAACTTATACAAATTATCAAGAGTGGCATTTAAAAGTAGAATAGATGGATGAAATAATTTTTATTTATAAACTAGCTTTTTGTAAACCAATATTTCTTGTGATAATATTCAATAAAAATGTGATTAATTGTTCATTTTTCTCAAGTTTCTTTGTTTTTAGTTTTATGTCTCAATGAAAGCATTTAACATGCTGTATGATATATGTGGCATCACCGGTAGTTGATGAATGAGGGTGGTTAGATTAGACATGTTGTCATTTCTTTTGCGTACACGCCAATTTTATAGGCTTCGGCAGTGTTATACTTTTCGGCATCTCGTATTTCAAAGGGGTCGCGGTTATTATAAAGAACACCGCCGACAATATATATTATTGCATGAGTAAAGATGAATGTTTTCTACTATAATT